ACTGAAAACAGATACAAGAGACAAAGGCCTCCTAAAACAAAACAGTAAGTCACATAACATGGAAATAACTTACATAGAGTAACAATTATGAGAAAGAAAAGGTTTTCACAATAAAATAAACACAAGGAAACAACATAACTACAGCACAAACAAAAAACCCATTTCTAAAATATCAACAAGTCGAATACTTATGGAAATAAACAGAACATCGTAGATAGTGGCTTTGCCTCTTGGTGTCATTCAGCCACATAACAAAGCTGGTTAGGTTTAGAAAGATCAGAGTCTGGGATCAGTTGGAAGACCTGTGATGAGATAGTTAGAAAAAACAATATATGAAAGTAATGAGAAAGTGGCCACTTTCATGAGTAAATCATATAAGTTTTTACTATTTCTTTTCCATATGAGAAGACACTGAACAATCATCATTACGGTCAACGTGAAATAAATGTTGGATCAGTGTTAACAAACTGATGAAACCTGGGACTGGTTAATAACCAAGAGTGCAAAAGTGATTAACGTTAGCGTTCATGTTGATTGACAACATCTTTGTCCTAAAATAGTTTCAGCTATCGTTTGCTATCTGTCATGCTCCCTGTGCCTCCCCGGCCAGCCCAGTGTGGCCACAAGTGTTTGTTGTTTTACTCTCTGTCTGCTCCCCTCGCCTTGCTCTCTCTCTCCTACCTGTCTGCCTGGGCGGAGCTCTGATTGGGCTCCCGCCCTTGGCCCATGCACCTGCAGCTGATGTCCGGTGATTTGCAGCTCTTCTTAAGGCAGGGGCTCTGAGCTACTCGTCGCTGGAATATTGAGTAACTCTCGTTAGCGTTGCCTGGCTTCATTGCGATTCTGTTGTTCCCGTGCTTGCCTTTGACTTACCCTCGTCTGTGTAAATAGGTTTACCTGGATCAGCCCTTTTGTGACCCCTGGACCCCGTGAGTGTGAGTGGGCTGCTTGTGTGGAGACTGTTTGGACAAGGAGCGGAGCAAGTGCGAAGAAGTGTGTTTCCCCAGCCTATTGATCCCCGGGACCCTGGTGTTTCCCCCCCCTTCACGTGTACATAGCGCACCAGTGTGATTAATAAAGTATTGTTGAACCGTGCTTTCTCAGTCTGCGCCTGAGTCCGTTCCACCACCGTGACACCATCTGGGTTTATTTTTTTTATCAGCACAACAATGTAAACACAGTGTCAGCACAACTATGCCAAGTTCAAAGATGAGTTACAGATCAGTGTGGTGGTGACAATGAGTTCTTAGTCCACACCCTTGGAGTGTGACCCAAATACTTTTATGGAAGATAGCTTCAAGTAAAAATGATGTTATCACAATGTTCATTTACATTTTTAACAAATTAAAATTAAAACACAAGTACCTGCAGGTGGTGAGACTAACATGTTATTTTAACTGTATAAAAGCGCACAAAAAGGACAATTACACAGTTATCTACGGTGTTGTTTTGTTTACAAGTTCATTTTTAAGCATTACAGCTGTCATCAGTTTGCAGTTATTATGAAACCCATAAATCAATACAAAATTTAATGTTAATATCAGTAATCAACCTACGCAGATGATGATTTAGTTTAATTAGACTCAACCCTTCTGTTGTTCTGTTTTTTATTTACAGACCTGCTGACAGAAGCTGTCATAACCGTAATCTGTGCCAAACATCACATGATTAGCGTCCAAGTCTGGAAACATCTGTGTGTCAGTATAAGGTCACACTCACAGCGCCACGTAGTGACTTGGCGATACACATTTGATGTACATGACATTTCATTTGACATATAAGTACTGTGTCTTCTTTGACGCAGCCTAGAGGAAGTAATAAGGAACTATTATACTATATATACTATACAGGGAGTGCAGAATTATTAGGCAAGTTGTATTTTTGAGGAATAATGTTATTATTGAACAACAACCATGTTCTCAATGAACCCAAAAAACTCATTAATATCAAAGCTGAATATTTTTGGAAGTAGTTTTTAGTTTGTTTTTAGTTTTAGCTATTTTAGGGGGATATCTGTGTGTGCAGGTGACTATTACTGTGCATAATTATTAGGCAACTTAACAAAAAACAAATATATACCCATTTCAATGATTTATTTTTACCAGTGAAACCAATATAACATCTCCACATTCACAAATATACATTTCTGACATTCAAAAACAAAACAAAAACAAATCAGCGACCAATATAGCCACCTTTCTTTGCAAGGACACTCAAAAGCCTGCCATCCATGGATTCTGTCAGTGTTTTGATCTGTTCACCATCAACATTGCGTGCAGCAGCAACCACAGCCTCCCAGACACTGTTCAGAGAGGTGTACTGTTTTCCCTCCTTGTAAATCTCACATTTGATGATGGACCACAGGTTCTCAATGGGGTTCAGATCAGGTGAACAAGGAGGCCATGTCATTAGTTTTACTTCTTTTATACCCTTTCTTGCCAGCCACACTGTGGAGTACTTGGACGCGTGTGATGGAGCATTGTCCTGCATGAAAATCATGTTTTTCTTGAAGGATGCAGACTTCTTCCTGTACCACTGCTTGAAGAAGGTGTCTTCCAGAAACTGGCAGTAGGACTGGGAGTTGAGCTTGACTCCATCCTCAACCTGAAAAGGCCCCACAAGCTCATCTTTGATGATACCAGCCCAAACCAGTACTCCACCTCCACCTTGCCGGCGTCTGAGTCGGACTGGAGCTCTCTGCCCTTTACCAATCCAGCCACGGGCCCATCCATCTGGCCCATCAAGACTCACTCTCATTTCATCAGTCCATAAAACCTTAGAAAAACCAGTCTTGAGATATTTCTTGGCCCAGTCTTGACGTTTCAGCTTGTGTGTCTTGTTCAGTGGTGGTCGTCTTTCAGCCTTTCTTACCTTGGCCATGTCTCTGAGTATTGCACACCTTGTGCTTTTGGGCACTCCAGTGATGTTGCAGCTCTGAAATATGGCCAAACTGGTGGCAAGTGGCATCTTGGCAGCTGCACGCTTGACTTTTCTCAGTTCATGGGCAGTTATTTTGCGCCTTGGTTTTTCCACACGCTTCTTGCGACCCTGTTGACTATTTTGAATGAAACGCTTGATTGTTCGATGATCACGCTTCAGAAGCTTTGCAATTTTGAGACTGCTGCATCCCTCTGCAAGATATCTCACTATTTTTGACTTTTCTGAGCCTGTCAAGTCCTTCTTTTGACCCATTTTGCCAAAGGAAAGGACGTTGCCTAATAATTATGCACACCTGATATAGGGTGTTGATGTCATTAGACCACACCCCTTCTCATTACAGAGATGCACATCACCTAATATGCTTAATTGGTAGTAGGCTTTCGAGCCTATTCAGCTTGGAGTAAGACAACATGCATGAAGAGGATGATGTGGACAAAATACTCATTTGCCTAATAATTCTGCACTCCCTGTATATGTCCAACAGTCTGATTAGTCCCTCAGCTGCAGCATGCAGCACATCTCAACGGATTGAAAGGTGCAAGGCCCCTATAATTACTGCTCGTATTTTTAATTGCTATTATTATTATTGCTGCAGTATGAAATGTCACATTTCAAAAGCAGCAATGTTAATGCATGATTAGCACACCTTCCAGATGTGTAGCCAGTCTATTATTTTAGTTAAAGACACTCTGATGAACAAGCTAAACAATTTTTTAAAATTATTAATTGAAATGTATCATATTTATTTATTGTTTATTTGTACAGTTTAACTGTCAACAGCCATCTTAACAGTTAGCTAAATTGTTTTTCAATCTTCCACTGCAGAAGTTCCCATTTCTTATTGTACTCAAAGAAATTCAAAGTAGAGATCTGAGAATGCCCTTCTGGTTAAGGTGTTGAATGATGTCGTAGATAAGCAGGAACGTCCATGGTAGACTTCAGGACTCAACTGACAAGCAGCAGCTCTAACAAATGATTTATGGTGAGATTGTGATGGTGTGTGACAACTCACATTAGTGAGGAGCTGAAAACGACTGATTGTGGTTCAGTGTAATATTCACTGTGTCTTTGTTGACTGTAACTAAACAATAACTAAAAATTAAGAAATAATTCACGAGGTTAACTTTCTCACCTCATGCACCCTGAGATCATACTGCTTTAAGCAAGCTTCAGCTTCTGTTAATGTTTTGTTAGAATATGTTTCATGCTCGTTGCCCTGCTTCTTACACAGGTTTACTTGTGCAGCTCCATCGGTAAAGTGTCCTATGTGCTATCTGTGCCGTTACTGGATCAGCATTAGTGTTGAAATGGCTGGTGCCGATTGTGCATTAAAAAAGAAGCCTGACCAATCTTTCATAAGGGGGACCATTTACATGAACAAAATAGCTGCATGACTGAGGGACGGGGAAGATGCAAAAAGCACAACACAGCATCTTTAAATCAGTTCGTCTTTGGATGGTGGATCAGTTTTGAATCACAGTTTTTGTTTAATTTGCTACCATGCTGTTTCACATTTTTCTGACTGCGATAGTTGCCAAGAACCGAAGTGTTTACAGCTGTCTGCAACACTTGAATTATAGGACAATCATGATTTATTGGGAAAAAATAAAAGTGAGTGACATTACATTATTACCTCTGGAACTAGAAGTTTCCAAGAAAGAAGACTGCTGATATGCTGGATGCATAAACTAGCAACTGTTAACATGAATTAACAAGCTAATACATGAAGATTTAATTTGATAATAATGTGCTAACACGTGTGTCTGAGTGTGACAGTTATATGCTCGATATAATTACAAAGAAAAAAATGACTGGCCTGATGCAGCTCAGGCTAGAGAGAGCACGCAGTGAAAACAGGAGAAGTATTTGGGGTAAAGTTTCATTTACTTTTTTCAAATAATTGAAATCATCAAACAATATGCAAATAATTGGAGATGAAACAAGAATATAAAATTAGAAAATGAAAACACATTGAGAAATCTGCTTGAAACACGAACAAGGATAGCTTTCCTTTGTGTCAAACCAAACAGGAAACACAACTGAACACAAGGTTCCCTCCGTCAGGTGCAAAAGGGGGTTTTTATTATTAACGGGCTGACGAGTGACAAGCGAGTCAGCGTGCAGCCGAGTGCAGATTTATCTACAAAAATGTTACACACATGCACACTTCCTGTCCCAGGTGCCTTATTGTAGATGCTGATTCATTACAAAACCCAGACTAGGAAAAGGGTCACGGCCCTGCAGCCAGTGTCTGTTTTACCTGGGTGAGCTGATTGACAGCAGAGATCAACTTAATAGATACTTGGCAGCATGTGTACATGATTCACACAAGCAGGTGTTGTCTGGGAAAGTTACAAAGTGCAATTTATCAGAGAGAGTCATTGTGGGAAGGTAGACACTAATTATGGCAAAGTTTGTTTGTGTGTCTGTGTATATGTGCATGTGTGAGAGAGCAGAATGGAAGTCGCACAACATTTCTCAGAGGCAGAAGAAAACTCAGTGGCTGGGTTAAGCAAACTGAGTGATAGTTGAGAACTTTCAACTATCGAGTGGCATTAGCAATGACAGCGCTAGGTTCGACTGTACTGGTACAGTGTACCCCCGAGAGGCAGACAAAATGGTTTTGGTCATTTTAATTAGCTTTGGTGTTTTGGTGTACTTAAGCCTGGGTTTGAAGTCTTGCAACTTAATAAATGATTAATGTTGTTTGCAAAAGCATTTTTAGTTATTAATGTATCCACCTACAGCAACTTCTTGTATCAGAAAATGTCTTGTTATTGCTACTAATTTGTCTTTCTGTAAAAAACATCACGTGCACAACAATGATGTAACAATTGTCATAATTGTCACACAATGGTGCAGTGGTTAACAATGTTGCATCACAACAAGAAGGTCCTGGATTAAATCCACTGGCCAGCTGGTGCCTTTCTATGTGGAGTTTGCTTTCATGGTTACTCTGGCTTCCTCTGACAGGCCAAAGACGTGCATCTTAGGTTAACTGGTAATTCTGAATTGGCTGTAGGTGTGGATGTGAATGCTGGTCTCTGTGTGTTATTCCTGTGATAGCCTGATGACCTTTCCACGGATTACCCTACCTCTTGGCCTATCACAACTCACACAGACTCCAGTTTCCCACCATCAGGAACCAGATAAGTGGTTAAGAAAATGCAAGGTTGTGTATTGGCAGTTCCAAATACTATGGAAATATTTTTGGACTTTAAACAGGTCAGACTTTCACTGAGCTTGAAAAAATGTTCCAGCAGCTATGACAGAGCTCAGGAGCTCAAACTGAGGGCAGATGCTACAAAAGAGCTGATTTAACTGTAAAAAGTGTTTCTAATAGCTCACCTGTCTGAGGTGAGGAAAATAATTGTCATACGAGTGAACATGAGTGCAATGGACACTTTGGGGATTCCTATGTGGAGGGTTTGAAGCTGAGGCAACAAAACACATTAAGGACCAATTACATTCATGCAAGTCTAATGAATAACCTCTTATAGTATGACCTGCACCTCAGGTTTGTTTGAGTGCTGGAAAAGCCAGAAGCTCAGAGTTCACTCTCTGTGCAAAAAGAAAGCCTTACTGTGAAGAAGAGAGTTTGAAGCTTCGTCTTGTTTGTTGCGTTTGAACACTCCCCTACTTTTATATCAACTGTAAGATTTCCAAGCAAGCCTGGAGGCCTGTTAATGGCATTGCAGGCTTGCAAGCATGTCGCTACATGTGTTCTGCTGTTGGCAGAGTGGGAAAGAGGAGGAAGAACTCCAGTTATTCTAGACTGTCAGTGTTTTCACATGAATCAACGATGACTATCTCAGTTGTTACTCTGTATTCATAAAGTGACAACAAAGCTAAACACAAATCTGTGCTATTGTGCCATATGCTAGATACTGTGATTGAACTTCCTGTTCAGTCAAATTAAGAGAGTGGTACAAAATTACAGGACTGTAGCATTACTTTACCTTGATGTATGGCCCCATATTGAAATATCGTGACTTTTAATTAAACAAAGCTCTGCCACTGAGTTAACCCAGTCACTGACATTACTCCTGCCTCCTGAGCAACTTAACCTCTGAACAAATATCTACAGCAAATAAAATTAAAATAATAGACTCTATGTATGCTTTACTGTCTGTTAAAGTTCAATGATAAGCTTTCCTTCATCGTCACTGCTGCTCGTGTCTTCTGTATACTCCTGGCAGCTCTGCACAGGCCTCACTCCACTGTTCAGACACTCAGCAGACTGGTAGCCATGAAGTGGGCCAGCCAAGTAAAAAGAATGATATTTGCTGGTAATGTCAGCTCTTCCAGAGTCACTGGCTGTAGTGTCATGCTTCTCGTCAGCGTATAGAAATGGCTTGCATGGAGACCCAGTATCGTGATACATCTTTGATGGTTGGATGTCTCCTCTAGCTCCAGTAACAACTCTACAGGCTTGAGAAACTTGATCGGCATGTGTGGAGGGTAATGTCCCAACATTAGAGTTTTGGTGACCTGTTAAGTTGAACTTCTTACAGCTGCTTATTGTTGTGCTGCTGTTACCTGCAGTGCTATTTCCTTGTTGAATGGTCAGACTGACGCTGGTTTGCTTTTGGTCTGGGACTGAGAAAGTTTGTTGAATAGTGGGCTCAGTTCTTGAAAAAATATGTTGTGTTTGTGATAACTGAGCTCCTGCACTGATATGTCGACTTGAATTGAATTCAGGTAAGACCTGTGTTGGTTGGTTATGAGTGACACCGCTTTGCCAGTTGTGTTGCGAGTGATACGAGTGGTTAATTTCCAGAGGGAGTTTTGGAGAAGTGAAAAGGGTCGTCTGAATGCTGCACGCAGGTATGTTGAGATTACTCGATGTATTCAACGCTTGCTGACAGCTCAGTTGGGGGTATTCAGACATTCCTGAGTGCATCTGGGAAACATGCTGAAGGTGTTCCTCGGGTGGCCAAGGGTTTTTAAAAGAATCATTCTTGACCTTTTGATCTTCTTCCTTTTAATGAGAGAAAAATATGAGGAGTGTTATTACCACTATACCATCAAAACAATGGAATCATTTTATAGCCACTGAACCCTCTCATTATCTTTCTGGATTACCCAAATACTGCATAGACCTCATGCATACTCACCCCTCAAAGACAGCAGTTTGAGTCATCAGTCAGACTACAAAAGCACAATATAAGTGCTGGTTCAATTCCAAGAGTTCTTTTGTTCAGCACAGCCTACCCAAATGTATTTATTCATTTTAACCACTTCAGTCAACTGACCACAACTTATAACACATTCAGAAATTTAAAAACATGTCTATATACACATGATTTTTTTTAAATTATTTAATAAAATACAGGAATATAACTTCAATTAATTTTGATTCTGTAGCTCATAACATTTATTCAAACTTCAAAATTTATTCAAACTTGGACAGAGAAGCATGTACATAAACAACTACCATGGTCATGCACACACACAACTGTTGTAAAATGATCTTACAAGAAAATGCAGTTGTCGACATGGGCTAGTCTAGTATCCTGCCAGTGTATTAAGTATTTACAGCAATTTTTAATTTCAATTTTTATGACCCAGCAGTGTTTGGATATTGATCTTCTCTGGATATACCACCCCCATTACCATTATCACTCAAACCACTGAGCTTGTAGTGGTACTGCCGCAGTAATCCCAGGAACACTTGGGTATAAAAATAAAGAATGCATATAGAGAACGCTCCACCCAACTGAGGTGCAGTAGGGTGTTGTGAGTGAGAGGTCCTGGATGAATAAGTACAACATGATGGCCATAACTGGACAAACAAAGGCCAAGATGGCAATGCCAAGAACCAGTTAACATCACAAAGGCAGACATACAATGAAGAGGTGGACAGCGCTAGGATCTGACACGATCCATTCTGGCTGAACACGCTAACAGCACTCTATGATTACCTGGCAGCACAAATAAATGGGCTGATAACAGCAAGTACTCATCCAGACTGGCTAACATGGGCCAGAACAATTCTGATCACATAGGATCAACACAAGACACCATCAAACTACGGACAGATTAACTTCCTCTGCACAACATGGAAGCTCCTCTCAGGCATCATAACAACCAACCGGAGTGCGCACATGGGTGAGTGCATAAGCATAGCTCAGAAGGGCATTGGAAATAACACCAGAGAGTCAAAGCACCAACTACCGGTGGATAGAGCTGCACACCAGAACTTTAAGACCAGCAGACCAACCTGAGCACCACATGGACTGACTAGAAGAAAGTCTTTAACTCAATGCTCCGAACATGGATACTGGACGTGGCTAATAGTGCACTGAAAACATTCATTGGGAACTCAGTGGGATTGTGGAACACTAGAGAGGCCAGCTCCAAGACAGTCGCACAAGTCATCACCAAGTGCAGAATATACCCACGCGATGGAGAGTCTGTACTGCTGTTCAGGATATGGATCGACCCCCTGAACCAGTTCCTCACTACCAGTGGATACAGATATAGATTCAGGAGTGGACCGACCATCAGCCACATCCTGTCCCTGCTGGATATCAAGCTGTATGCCAGGCACAAGCAACACATCAACTGACTGATCCACCTCATCAAGATTTACAGCAAGGACATAGACATGTCATTGTGATTGGATAAGTGTGGCCAAATGGTTGCAAAAAGAGGAAAGATCTAGACTGAATGTCAGAAGGTAGAATAGCCAAGATACAGGAAAGCTACAAGTACCTGGGTATTCCACAGACCAATAAGAATCATGGCGAACGTGTCTGTGAAGGTTCTCAGTCATCCAGGTCATCATAGTCTAAGGAGCTTGGAAAGAGAAGTGCCTGGACTTCTTCAAGTTTCCTTGAAGACGTTTCACGTCTCATCCGAGAAGCTTCTTCAGTTCTAAGAGCAATTGGTGGAGAGTCCCAGATTTACACCAGCCGCCTTAGCACCCACTCACATCCTGGGCTATTTGACCTCAGTAAGTCACATGTTGGGCTAGGTTTCACAATGGGTTCACTTGGGGACACTCCCATAGGGAAGAAGCTTTTCGGATTCAAGGTGAAATGTCTTGAAGGAAGCTTAAAGAATTCCAGATGCTTTTCTTTCCAAGCTCCTTAGACCATGGCAAACATGCAAAAAGGGCAGCCACAGCCAAATTCCTCCAGAAGGCAAGGGGGATGCTGAGAAGCCATCAATACATACACCCTCCTGGTCATCAGATATCTAGCTGGAATAATAAGCTAGCCAAAAGACGACACTGATAATTCATAAATCCCCAACACCCTTTGCACCACATGCTGGACATGCAGCTGTAACACTTTCTGGAACATCTGTATCAACATTACTGCACTCAACATTCACTGATACCAACACACTTTGATTTGTAATTGTATTGCCTGGAGCCAACTTAATACAAATGAGGAGTGAACAACCTAATTGCTAAAGAATACCGTGCATTGCTTTTTACATAGACAAGGAATGTGAAGTGAGATGACTGTCGTTGTGATTTGACCCTGTACAAATACATTTGAACTGAAACTTAATTGAATGAAAATGGTGGATCTTGTTGACATTTTGCATAAAGGTTGATGTGACCCACTTCTAAATACTATTGAATTTGATAGAGACCTGCTGTGACAAAGACTCTTCTTTATAATAAGACTTGAAGTTCGAAATCCAGAAGAAGTATTACTGCCATAAAAATCTCTTGTAATTGCTGTCAGCTGCCTAATTCTAGTATTAACATACTGCGGAATTGAATTTATTGCTGTTGCTTCAAGTGCAAATGCCCCATAAATTCTCACAAAATATTTGCCCCTGTGTGTGGCTTGGTAGTATACACTTTTTTGTTCAGTATATTTATAAATCTTTTTTTTCTTGCACCACTCTCTTCTGTGTTGTGACACATCTTGGGAGGTTTTATATTTATGGTGCTGCAAATATTTCATAAGAATGAAAGAACACAAATTCTGGCTTGGCTGTTGTGCTTTGTTTGGTAAATGTGTTAAAAAATGAAAAACAATCATGTGATGTAACAACCCAGTGTGCCTCAAACCTGCTTTTATATGATCCCCAAATAAGGACGGCCTTATTGCACCAGGGATTTGTGGCAAACTTTAGTAGATAAAGAATAAATTAAAATGGTAAAAAGTATTGCAAAAGACTGCTGGATTGGAAAGGATTGTGCACAGTGTGAGTGTTTTTAGTGTGTAGATTTGGGAGGTGACTTTGTTTTGAGAGGGTTTATATTCAAACAGCAGAGGAAGAATCACCTACCTCACGCTCTTTGGTAAAATAAGAATACAGCAATAATAAGTAAATAAATAAGTATCCAAAATAATGTTTGGTACAGTACAAGAACAAGCTTTGTTCATGTGTCTGAGTCAATGTGGGAAAGGCTGTTTGCCTTTGCAGATTACCCACATATATATAACCAGTGTTGGTCAAGTTACTTGAAAAAAGTAATCAGTAACTAATTACCGATTACTCCCCCCAAAAGTAATCCCGTTACTTTACTGATTACTTATTTTCAAGAGTAATTAATTACTTAGTTACTTAGTTACTTTTTAAAAACACGATTTACAACCTGAAGAGGTGATAAAGCGATAGATCTTTCAGCCCAATTCTACTTTTTCTGCATAATCCCTCATACAAAATGCAATCAAATGGAAAAGTCTCTTTTTAAAACTTGTTTTATTAGTTTTAATCTTTTAACTTTATGCATCAAGCAAAATTGTAATTATATGCAACATTCACTGACTGGAAGAAATTAGTTTAACATTTAAACCTATTTTCTGCACATTCCAGCACATAAAATAAAATATTTTTTGTGTTTACACTCAGTCTTTCAAATAGATGCAAGTAAAACACAGCAGAACATAAATAAAGTCAAAGACTCAGCGGTCCTTTTGCTCTATTTTCACCTGTAAAGCAGGAGTTGGGTAGGCGGAGGTTTACCCTGGTGCAGGTGTGCCGCGGTCAGTGGAAGAATCCGCGAGTTTCTCTGTGAGTTTCCCAACATGTCGTTGCCCACTCGGAGCTTGCTCGGAAGTTTAGGGGTTTTTTTCGCTGTAAAAAGAAGTTTTCTTCCCACGCACAATGCTAATGGACACTAATGTTTTTGTCACTTTTTATGGAATCAAACTCAAAGTAAGGTCAGTACTTCCACGCTTTAAACGCTGCACGCTCATACTCTCTCCCACAATCGATATGTGATCCACTGTTGATCTGCACACAGATGTTGTCACTAACGGCGCACTCGCTTACGTCACTGTCGTGAGACATTCTCGCAAAAAATCACGGTTTTAGTAACGCAGTAACGCAGCGTTCCTACGGGAAAGTAACGTAATCTAATTACCTTTTTTGCAATAGTAATCCCTTACTTTACTCGTTACCTGAAAAAAGTAATCAGATTACAATAACGCGTTACAAGTAACGCGTTACTGCCCATCTCTGTATATAACAATGGTGAACTGTCGTATTAAACATTAAATAATGAGGTCACACAAATAGGAGCACTGTTAGTGAAGTTACTCGAAAAAAGTAATTAGTTACTAAATACTGGTTACTTCTCCAAAAAGTAATTCCGTTACTTTACGGATTACTTATTTTCAAAAGCAAGTAATTACTTAGTTACTTTTTTAAAACTTGATACACAAACTGAATAAGTAATAAAGCAGCAGACCTTTCAGCCCAATTCAATTTTTTCTGCATAATCCATCATATGAAACTGAATCAAATGAAAAAGTCTGTTTTTAAAACTTGTTTTATTAGTTTTAATCTTTTAACTTCATGCGCATTGCATCAACAAAAAATTTAATTATATGCAAGAAGAAATTCTTTAACATTTAAACCTATTTCCTGCAGATTCCAGCTTATAAAATAAAATAAAGTTCTGTGTTTACACTCTTTCAAATAGATGCAAGTAAAACACAGCAAAAAATAAATAAAAGATTCAGCAGCACTGAGTCCTGTCGCTCTTAAATCTATTTTCACCTGTTTAGCAAGAGTGGGGCGGGTGGAGGTTTGCCCGGTGCCACAGCGTTCATGTCAGTGGGAGGATCCGGGGGTTTCTCAGTGAATGTCACATTCCCGTGGCAGCGTGCTCGGTGCTCGCTCAGACTTGAAGTTTAAGTTTTCACTGTAGAAAGAAGTTTTCTTCCCACGCAGAGTGAACAGCAGACACTAATGTTTTTGGCACTTTTTACAGACTCAAACTTAAAGTAATGTGAGTACTTCCAAGCTTTAAACGCTGCATGGTCGTACTCTCTCCTGCACACCATATTATCCATCGTTGATCTGCACACGTCTGTTGCTGCCACGGACGTCGCACGCTCGTACGTCATTGTCATGAGACACTCTTGCCAAAAAAATCACGGTTTAGTAACGTAGCGTGCTTATGGGAAAGTAACAGTAATCTAATTACTTTTTTTTGCAATAGTAACCCCTTACTTTACTTGTTACTTGAAAAACATTACAGTAACGCGTTACTGCACATGTGTGTATGTAAATCTTATAAACTAAAAACATCCCATTTCTATTATGTCAGTGACAACATTCCTTACATGGTCTTCTTCATCATTTATCCTCACAAAGAAAAGCAGTGATACAACAACAAATTTTAAAACAGCCCATCTTGAAATATTAGAGAAGCCAGCTCCATGAGCCTTTAACCACTGCCCCTGTCTGAGGAAGTAACAAGGCTACTGCAGAAGTGCAGCCTCAGCAGCTGATGGATTTAGAACCAGCTCTACAGTGGCTGAGGAGGCGATAGAACAGGTATGATAAACTGATTATATCATTATCAGTGCTATGATTTATCAATATTGTACCTACCCTATAAGAGTTTTGCATAGACTAATGTAATGAGACTAATAATCCAAGTCATGGTGTTTTCATTATTCTGTCTAAAGGGACTAAAACCAGTGTAGCTAAAGCCAGAGAGATGAGCTCCTGGGGATACGTTTAGTTAACCTCTTACCTCAACGGTTCTAGCATTAGGCTTTTGTTTTAGCCACGTGTTAAACAGGACATGTTTGAAGAATAAGACTCTGTATTTAAATAAAGTCTGATGATTTGTTTTGGAATTTCTGCAATTCCAGATTTTTCAGCCGGGTGTTCCAAACAGACTGAGGGTCTCTAAAACTAAATCCTAATCCTGACTCTACATTTGAAATGAGAGATGTTAAGAGCTTAATAACCTTGCAGCAAAGTGCAAATTAGAGAGAATACAGTGGGGTCAACTCCAGGACTGTTAAATTCTGATTTGATCCTTGTCATCTTATTTTCCTAACTCATTGTGCATGCTGGTGACGGCTGGAGAGAAAGGTTAGTGATAGTTGTGCTGTTTACCATCTCTAACTGTAACTTCCTGCTTCCTCTCTCTGTCTTGTGTTACGTGGTTTTATACTTTTATGTTTTTCATTTTTCTATTTTCCAGCTTGGCTTTTTTACTAAGAGCTTGAATTAATTAACTAATCCAATAAAACTGACTCAACTTTAGAAGTCTAAACATTCAAATTCTCCTGAGTTTGAGTTTGATAGTTTTTATTTCCTTTGCAGATACAAGTCTTTTATATGTAAACTCTTAAACATTCAGTTCCCAAAATGCAGGTCATCAGGTACGTTTTTTAGAAGCAAGAGTACGGTACATTTCAATAACCTCTCATGCATTTATTAGCGTGAGAGGTTATTATTTATTATTTATTAGCGTTTCATTTTCAGAAAACTGTAAATTTTATATAAAACTTGGATGTTGGGGGTTAAGCGGCTCTGAGGCTTTGCTTTTGTTGTGTTGTAATTGTTCTTGTAAATCAGCATGTGTGTTGTAAACACTAAGACCACATGAAAAAAAGAACTGTATAGTAAACACGGATCCTGATTAGATGCACTCTCTCTCACCTCTGCCTTTGATAAAACTGTGGATCTGCAGTCTGACTCGGCCCACAGTCCTGGAGCTTTGTCTGCTTTGATTCCTCTGTTCTCCTCCTCCTCTCCCGTCACCCCACTGTCACCTCGCTCTCCCAGACATTGGTGGTTTTTCTCTTCAGCCCCTTGGCTCTGCTTCTGCTTCCAGTCTGTGCTGTCTGGCTGCCCGGGAGTCCTTACATGTTCCTGCATCTGCAGCTCCTTCTGGGCTGCACACCTCGCCAGGGAGGCTCCCTCCATAAGCCCTCCAGGAAGAAAAACAAATGAAAAAGCAGTTGTTTTCTTTAGGAACTGAATCCACAGTTTTACTGCTTATCAGTCATTCTGCATTTTTTTCAAGCAGTAGTCAGCCACACATGAACACTGAAGCGGATTGCGTTCACTGTAATTCTTCATATTATTCATGCTGGTTGTTGAAAGAAGCTTTTACTCTGATCTTCCTTCTGGTAGGTATTTAAGTTTATCTGGAGCACACATGAGGCTTCAGATGGGTCGGTTAGACAAAGTATGTATCTACAGTGGTGAGGCAGTAAACAACAGTGGGATTTTATACTAAAGAGGCAAGAATTTTGGAGGATAACAACATGAGTCTGCTACAGCCTGAGTTACATCAGGATAAACTTTGAATGGGATACTGCTTGGAACGATTTGTTCCCTTTTACTTATACTACACAAGAAATGCACAACAAAACATTCTCAAACATTCTTCTTCGACACGTCAGAAGGAACCTAATTTGCAGATACTGTTCTGGCTGCATGCGAATCAGCCACATTAACAGCACTGCAAAAACTCAAAATCTTACCAAGTATATTTGTCTTATTTCTAGTCAAAATTATCTCATTACACTTAAAATAAGACACAATCAGCTACAGGGCAACATTTCAGTAAGCTAAAGGAACTTGTTGGAACAAGTGAAAAATCTCTAGTTTTTCTCTAGTTTCAAGATTCACTGTCTTGAAACAAGTTCCTTTAGCTTACTGAAATGTTGCCCTGTAGCTGATTGTGTCTTATTTTAAGTGTAATGAGATAATTTTGACTAGAAATAAGACAAATATACTTGGTAAGATTTTGAGTTTTTGCAGTGAGATTTTTTATTAAAAAACAACTTTTATATAAAACCAGGTGAACATAAAGGGGGAGAGGAAGGGTTACAGCAAGTGAAAGCTGGTTCATAAGGGCACCTGAGATTTTACGATGTGAGAAGAAGCATAAATGTGGAAACCAAAGCTCTTTATTCCAGCTAAGTAAAAGCAATAAAACAAGAATTCACTGGGCGATAAAAAGATATTTTTCCAGTGGGCGTGCCCATTCTTGTGCCACACACAGATAAATGTGCACATCTGTTATATGCATTTGAGGATATGACTACAATTGAAATGAAAATGTTTTTAACCTGGCAAGCTCTGTGGTCCACAGCTACCTTTTTTATCAGTGCCACTAGCCTGGTAGAGATGATAACAAACTACAAGAAAATCCTATTAGCGGTAAACAGATGCAGACAGCTACCATGTGTCTGAACCTCTGTGTCAGCGATACAGGACAGGTACAAACCCCTTTACCCAGGAGGCAGTAGCTGGAGGTCAATGAGTGGCAGGCATTTTGTTTATCCTCTGCTCTCTGGGGTGACCTTTAACCCTGTAGCTGTCTGAAATCCCTCAGTCCTTTCATTTAAAAAGCGTGAAAGTATGTGATCAATGCTGCGATGGTGATCAAATGACACTTTCAAACACTGTGGGACACACACGAGTTCTGCATGAAAGCCTGAGAACAGCCCACACGTCACAGCGGAAAAGGACAAAGATGATCAAAAACTGAAGCCATATCGAGTTCTGCTACAGAAACATTTCCAGATGAAACTCCACTGGATTGTTTTCCCTACAATTCAAATCCCTGCTCGCCTAAACATTTGATTCCCAGTAAGTTGTAGGTTTGGGTAATTGTGCGAGCACAGACCAGAGCTCCATATTGCAAATCTGTGAATCTTTAGTGCCACCTAGTGTTGAAAGAGAAAAAATGCAAAAACTGCAATAAAGCATGCGTATGTTCTAGTATTTGTATTTCACCGTATCAGTTCACCTTGTTTTAAAACAATTTGTCAGTTTAAGACTATGTATGACGATACATAACAGAAGGAAGTGGAATATTTTAACAGAATCTTAATTAAATATGACTGTCAAATAAAAGATACTAGTTATACTGTATCCTAATGCCAGATGTTTATCATTTGCTGAGTGTATGTCTGTCAGCTAACCTATATTTTGAATTTAATATTGACTGACATGTCAGTGTCAGCACATTACTTTAAGTTGACTTTAAAGAGATAGGGACAGGTGCAGTTTGGGGACAGCAGGCACTCCTTTCTCATTCCATGTTGTATTTAAATCCACTGTACTGCAGTACGGAGCCAAAAATGATGTCATATTCTTAAACTGCACTGTAGGAAGCAATAATAACATATATGTTACGTAATACATTTAAATAGTGAATTGTACCTGCTGTCTGGCTCTGAATACTTGCACACACAGATGTGTTGTCTTTGCATCTGTCCACCTGGATGTTCGAGGACGCTGAAGCAAAGTGAGTCGGTCTTTTTTCTGAGTGGCGTGAGCTGATTACATCCTGTGATCCATGAGGGGTGATTTCCAATAAAGTTTTGGAATCACCTACAGATCCGACTCTGTCACATCCCATGTTTGTATCTTTGGATGGATTCAAAGTCTCAGATATTGTGGGCTCCACTTGATTACTGCAGTAGATGGATGCTTGTGGGTTTGGCTGTCCCACAGCTTTGCTTTTATTGACAGAAAGTGAAGAGACCGACCCAGAATGTTTATCAGAGCATGCAGGAGAGGGAGAATGGCTGCAGTGCTCTCCACTTTCTAACCTGCTTCCTTTGTATTCGGAGGCCTTGCCCTTAGTTTTCATTATGCTGACATTACATGAGTCGCCCTGATTATTAAGCTTATGTTGGCCTTCTTTGCACAGCAGTTCACTTTTCAAGTTATTGTGATTTTCTGTGCTGGAACAGGGAGAGCTCCTGCTGAGCTTGTGTTGGCCAGAGAGAGCTTGCAAGACGGTTGCACCTTGGCTGACCCTCCGGTCCAGCAAAACCTGCTCCTCAGCACAGCGGTTCAGAGAGAGAGTCTGTTCCTCCACTGAAGTTTGTCGTCTTCCTGACTTTACACCTCCAAGCAGAGCAGAAGTTGACATTACATCACCCGCAGTGCTCTGAGTCTCTGTGACCATGTTTACATGACTGTTTTTGTGTGGGTGTAGTGGCGGAGGGAGAGATTCAGCTGATGCTGCAGCCTGAGTGGAAGTGCTTTGCTGAGCCAGGTGGGAACTTGGCTCTGCTTTCCCAAATTGCAAAGGCACAGAAGTCATTATTCTCTCAGTGGTAAGTGCAGGGAAAGACTCATTTTTGTCCATTTGTTGTCTGGGTTGTGCACTCTCTTTTGCCTCACTGTTGCTTTCAGCAGCAAAAGAGCCCAGAGTTTTGCTTTGGACACCTTCTAAGGTCCCACCTTCAGCGTCCTGTCTCTGGGAGACACTGGTACCCGATAGACGCTCTATCTGGGGTTCGATGAGGGCTAACTGCTCATCAGATATGATCTGGAGGCAGATCTGGAGGTCTGCTGTGTGCACATGGAACACGTTCTGAGCAGCTGGCTGTACCTGGTCAAACGGTACAATGTGACAAGGCACCACGGGGGTGTTTGTGCTAACGTGTGGTACGCTAACAGGATTCAGCAGGTTTGATTGTGCTGAGAGTTGTATGTGAGAGAGTGGAGGGTTAGACTGATCATATGACGCAGCTTTAACGGCAGTGGCAGATGTCTGACTGCTCGCTGTGGTTACGGTAAGTGTAGAAACAGCAGGTGCAACAGGTCTGGGTTGCTGTGCAGACGTCGTACATTTCGAAGGCTGGATCAAAGTGCTGCATAATCCTGCCTGATAATCTTGCAGGCAGCTTGTGGTTATTGTGGTTGCTGCAAATTGTTTGTGCACTACAGCTACGCTGCCTGGCAAATTCTGACTGAGTCGTGATGTTGCAGCATGACAAACTGTTGAGACAAGCTGGTCCTGCGCGGAGCTGAAAGCATTCGTCTTCTTAAGATCACAAGTTAGCCCCAGCTGTGAAGCTGTGGGGTCTTTGCAGTTCTTTACACTCGTTGTGACCGAGGTCACGCTGCGCTCGATGTGAGGAGATGACAGAACTGAGGTGAAAGTGTGGGCTTCAGTTCCTGGTGGTTTATCCACAACTTGTGGTGAAAAAGTTAAATCAGGTTCAGCAACATTGGGTAACTTGAGTTGGTACTTGGGCAGGAAGCTGTTCTTTGCAGCAGGGGGACTAGAAGCAGTTGCTGAGGTGCTAACAGAGGTTGTGTTTGCATTGATTATGCCCGACTTGAATAGAGGCCCTTTGAGCGGAGTATGTTGTGGATTGTTTTTAAGATTGATGTAAGAGAGGTTCGCTTCCTGCTGAGTGACAGAGGGTGTGGGATGAGCAAGCATTGTGTTTGGGTCAGTCTCCATCTGCAGAGGGCAAATTATTTTGTCATCAGTTCTCAGCTTTTTCCTGTCTGAAGGAATATGGGCTCCGCACAGCTGCGATGTGGAAACACTATGTTTTTTGTCTTCGTTCATCAGTCTCCCAGCTTCTGGTCTGTTCACACAGTCTGTTTTGTGACTAACCAGTGAGCCGATAGAAGGTAATGGCAGTACTGACAAAGACAGATTCCTCCTGAGTGGAGCTTTGAGAGCGAGGCATGATGAATTAAGCGAGTTAGTTTGTAGATTAAAATCCACAGCAGGGACAAAGGAGAGATTGGCAGGAGGGCCAACTGTGGTACCGTTGCTTGTCGAACCTGTTGTCGTTACTGCCAGCGGTGCCCTTTTCTGCAGACCCTGAACAGGCTCATGCTCAGGGTTTGCTGAACATTTCCTGCCTTTGATAACACTGTTATCGCTACTTTTCTCAGCATTGTATAGCTTTTTAAATGTTCCACCCCCGTACATGTACCACTTGTTGTAGGCGAACTTCTGCGCTTTCTTCCTCCGGAACTTTCTGTTGCTCGGTTCTCCACAAATGTCACCGCCATCCCCGTCACAACTGAGGCTGCTGCTCCACGCCTCCTCCACAGATGAATTCCTGATGAGACCGTCTGTTGCGTGGTTGCAGTCTACGGCTGTCTGCCGGACCAGTGGGCGGTGGGTGGATGATTGCTGGTTCGCAGGCTTGATCGTGAAACCTGTTGGGTTGATCTGGCCAGAGCTTCCCCTTCGGACTAGCGTTACATAATCCCTCTGATTGGAGGAGGTTGGGCTGCTTCTCTCGGGCTGCAGGAGGGTGACACTGAAGGGGAGGGAATTGCTGCGAGTCAAGGGGGCATGGTCCATGGTGGAGGAGCGCTGAGTGGGCACAGAGCTGTAAATCCCTGGCTTCTTGTTTCTTTGTGACAAAACATTCTGAGTCTGACCTAATTTCATGTCAAAGTGAAACGAATCCTTGTACGTGTATGGCATGGGAAGGTCGATGCTTCCCTGCTTTGATAAAACGGTCTTGCGTGGCCTCACGTTCTCCAGCTGTTTGTCCTCCACAACAGCTGTATTGTCTGATATCAGCTTAGATATGCGCTCCTCTAGGGCCTTCTGCTCCTGCTCCCTGGCAGAGTCTTTGGACTCCTGTCTGCCGTGATCTGATTCTGTAGGTGTGCGCCTGGTGGCGGGTTCTTCAAGATGCTCTTTGGTGGATTCTGCGACTGAATCCATACTGTGATCGAGCAAAACACTGCCAGGGCTTGGATAGTGGTCACTAGTCTCGCTGAAGCCAGAGTCTGTGCTCTCGTGACTCTGCGATTTCCCTCTTGACACTGAGCTTTCCCACTGTTTGGAAAACAGCGTGGCCTCTTGTCTCTGAAGGGGAAGGTGTCTACTAACACTCGGTGGAAGCTTTTCACTTTCCTTTATTACCGTTTCGCTTCCATTTGGTTTTGAGTTTTGAACTGTGAGGCTCAGCTCGTTGTCTTCCTGCACACAGCGCTGTGTCTTCACAGAGCAGACCTTTGGAGTACTGGCTGGACCGGTGCTTTCAGCAGCAGATAGTGAGGAGTCCTTCTCTGTGCTGCCTGGCTCTTCGACGCATTCCTCCAGAGACAAACTGGAAGTGCAAGTCTCTCTTGAGCCAGACATGCTGTCTAAGCTGCTCTGCTCTGACTCCAGTGAAAGGCGTGCATGTGCCTGGGTACGTCTGTGTTTGTAGAGGTTGCTCTGAGTCTTAAATGAAACTCCACAAGTGGTGCAGGGGTAGGGCCGCTCCCCCGTGTGGCAGCGCAGATGCTTCTCCAGCACGCTGGGCTTCATGCAGTCCCGTCCGCAGTGAGGACACACGTGCTTTCCTGCAGACTTGGGTTTGGCTGCGGGAGCAGCAGCTGCCAGGCTCAATCCCGGCTGAGACTGCAACCCACCAGCAATATGGAGCGTGAGGATGGGAAATGTCTCCTTGGTGTAGAGCGGCGGCATGCCCAGATGGAGTGTGGCTGCTTCTGGAGCAGCTGCAGGCGGCTGAGGGTAAGGCTGCGCGGGCAGCGCAGGTACTGTGTGGATGTAAACAGCCGTCAGGGGAGCCTGGACATCCATCCTTTTCTCTGCCTGCGCTGTGACGGAGCTGATGTGCACTGGAGCACTCGCCAATCCTGGCTTGCCAGTCTCCATGGTAACACTGCTGCTGTCGTGATGTACCAGTGGCAGGTCTCTAATTACCTGTAAGATAAGAACAGTTTGCATTAGACCTCAGTTTGCGTTAGATTAAAAGGGGGCAGGAATTTTGCTACAGCTCACTTAAAGAGGAAAATGTGATTACTCTTGGAGTATGTTTTGTTCTTTAACTGGTGACCAGCCCCAAGAAATGAGCACAGTACTGATGACAGATATGCAATACTCTCCAGGACAGATGGCTAATAAAGCAATTAATCCAGTCTGGATTTTGCCTGATAAAAATCCAGGGAGATGTGTTTTGCAATGTAAAAGAAAAATGAAAACACACTTGGTTCTGAGTAATATCATTGTGATAATGAGCAATAATATCCACAGTGGGAGCAAAGGCATTTCAAGCTCTCCTTTTTCATTTCAGTGGCAGGTTAAGATGTGCACTGCGTGTGGAAATGTTAGTCGAAACCGTGGAGAGAAATGTGCACATACGCGCATGTAGTGTCACAGTGGTGTGTGTCTGTGTGTGTGTTGGGGCGGGCTTTTATCTCGCCAAATCAAGTATGTCTGCTGGCATTAGCTGTTACCTCTGTCACCAGTCTGCATCAATTATAAGGCAAACCTTTGATGTTCAGAGTATCATGTGGCAGCGTTCGGTCCTGACTGACTGTCATATTGGTGCAATAATCAGATCAAATCAAATCAAAGGGGAGCTGTGCATTAGAGTGAGAAAATTTCATTTCCTGTTGCTGTGATGGTGATTTTGCATAATTCACCCACAGAAGTACAGTTGGCACTCGACACGTTCGTTTGTTGGTTGTACAGCATGAGCACGCCCACGTCAGAGACTTTTTCTGGTGCTGTGAACTGAGGAAAGTTGGTCTCTGCTCACATTCGGCTGAGTGAGCGAAGAGCCCCTTGTGAGTGTGTCTTACTTTTACAACATTATTCATGGAGCTCGACCCTCCTGCTGTAATGTGCTTTCACTTCCTTACCGTTATGTAAATATGTCATATGGTGCACATGCTGCAACTTCATGTAGGAAGAGAAATGAAGGGAGCTTTCATCCTATAAGCACGCTTAGTCTAAGTGAGAGATAAAGGTTAGGGTTTAGTGAGCATCCACCTTTCTCATATCTGGAACACCAAGTGGAAAAGCTTGCAACAGCCGACTTAAAACTTGAAGAGTAACAACTTGTAATTTTTGGATATTTCCGTATTTATTATGATGTGTCAAAAAAAAATTTAATTCCAGCCCTAACCCTGGATGGGTTGTTACTGACCAAATGGTTGTTAAGAGGTTAAAGATGTGCGAGTTAGTTTTAAGAAGAAGTTGCGCTGTGCTGAAACACCAGCCTGTGCTTGCACTAAGAACAAAACATCACAAAAATCTCTCGACATGGGGACATAAAGAAGACGTATTAAATGTGTCTGTGGAAAGTGAAAATGTCATTTCCAGTTATGGATGTGACTTTATAAAATGAAAGTTTGAAAAGAGGAAATATCTGACAGTGCTGCCAGCCATCACAGTGTTTAGGTAAGAACAGCACTGCCAGAAACCAGAACTTAGTGTGTTTAACTAGGTCAAAACTCAGGCGCAACAATTGAGAGAAGAAAAAACAGCAGAAGACAATAAAGCAGAAGTCACTTACCGTCTCGCTTTGCACTCCAGTCACTGATAGTTATCCAGTCTAAACAGCCGTTCACAGTGAACCGGCCCATCCTCTGTGTACCTGCTCCTTTCGTGTTGCTCTGCCATCTAGCACCTCTCCAATCTGATCTTCTCTCACGGCTCTTTGACATGAACTGTTTCTTGTCACGAGGAAGCGGAAGAAATGCAAATGAGAGAGAAGATGCACTCTGAAAGTGGTGAGGCAGAGAGGAGGGGAGTGAGGGAAGGAGAAGGGCTGGCTGGGTGTGTGTGTGTGTGACTGTCAAACAAAGACTTCCGGAGGACAAGTTGAAAACATAGATTATACAGAAAGAGATCAGCGGGAGTGAATGAGCGGTGAGGCTCTAAGCACAGATGGAAGGATACGAGGCTAACACAGTTGGACAGAAAAAAAAAAGTGAAAGCAACGGGCTAGGACAGAGGAAGTGCAGTGACAAAGGCAAGCTTACCTTCAGCGGCTGACTTTACCGTCAACAGTTTGAGGCAGTACCTGACTCCTGGTTCACTTATATGATCGCTGCCCCCCACCTACTTCCTCCCACACATCGTATTTCATACACCCACATACACAAGCGTGCAGCAAAGCTAATGTTGATGTGGCTGCTTGGCTGCACATGTGCTGCTCTCACTCTCTCAAGCATAGAACAAATGGATGAGTTGTGAGAGGTTGGAGTGAATTTCCCTCCTCCAACAACAGCCCCCGTCAGACAGCATGTATTATTGTGCAGAAGTACATGAGTTCACATGCACGTGCTTGTAAAGCAATGTTCGTTTATCCCATTTGGACTCACATAGGTTTGCTCCATATATTGTTACTGGTTTGCTGAGACTGACTGCATATTAAGAGACAGATTGTTGACTGTATTGATCTGTTTCAGACAGAAAATAGTGAGGACAAGGAGTTATTTTTGGCAGTAGCTCTCCTTAGCTTGAACCAGAGTACACTGGCAAAGATAGAATGTGGTGAGTTTGTTCTCAAACAATGCAGTGGAAAACAAGGAGAAATATCTAATGGTGAAATTTCTACCATCGTTAAAGACTCAGACAACAAGCAACACATTAGATCATAGCTCTTTTCCTGTGGCTACACACCTACCCTTCAAATTCCCACATGTGTATGGAAGACTAACAATGCCAAAAGTATGACTCAACGCATGCATCCTTAATTTCTATTATTTTTCATTTGAGATGCATCACTTTTATACATTTATTTATTTATATTTATTTCTGCATTTCGAATAATTAATTTCAGGGTTGGTGACAAAATGCAAAATGCAGGTGGCTTCACACTACTGTACCTATGCTAACAGCAAGAAAATGTCGTTACCATAGCTACGGCACCAGATGATGGAGATGGACACGTACTGCATTTTAAAGGAGCAGTCCAACAAGATGTTAACACAGCCTTCAGTATGCCCACACTCCCTAACAAAGCTGATATGACAGTGGCAGACTACGGACCAGTCATCATTTGGATCCAATCAAACATTTGACCTAACAATAAATGATTTATACTTTTTAACATTAGTATTTATTTACATATATATATTGCCTTAAAATGTTAATGGCAAGCTTATGTGTTCACACTGTGCATGCAAGCATTTACTAGTTCTGCCAGTGCTCTGCAACTGGGCTAACCACAAAAAACATAGGTAAAAGAGAGATGCTAGGAAATTTGCAATTGTGGGTAAAAACAAACTAAATGTGGACAGGTGAGAACAAAAACAGAGTAATGTGTAGTATTTTTAACATCCAGATATCAACAACCTTTTTTTGTATTGTGAATGCTGACAGCACAAACATCTGAATTCACTTCCCACTAAATAATAAGATGCAGCTGATCAGACTAATACATGTGATTTGAATTCATGGTTTTATATTGTTTAAACACTATTGGATGCTGTGATCGGATAAGTCAAACCTGTCCTTTATTAAAGATTGTTCACTTGTCCTCTTTTGTTTCATTCTGTCTTCACTTTACAGTTCTGTATCTTTGGTTAGGTTTAGTTAAAACAATTCAGTATAAAAATGCAAACTAATGTTGTTTTATATGTTTAAGTTGTTCTCAGGCGTCAGATTTTTATGAGTCTACTGGCCAGTTTCACAAAAAGTGACGATGCAGCCCATGTATTTAATTACAGGCCGTGTTGGGCCTTTCATGAATTTGTTACTATGACGATGAATACACACAAGCAAATCGATCCACTGTTAACACAAAACTATTAACTACACATATATTCAGTTTCTCTATTTGTATCTTAATATATATTTAAGCAACCAAAAACATCTCTAATGTTGCCAGTTTGGGCCCCGCCCACCAGCTACTCAAACATTCTGTTTGCAAGAAGCAGCCAAACAGAACAAAGTTGGCCTTAACAAAGTGGGAGGGAAACTAAAATGGCATGTTTCATAATATATAACATAATATAAACTACATTAAGGCCTGCTATAAGACAGACACTTTTTTTTAAAAATGGGAATCTTATAGACTCCAAGAATAGAAAGATGGAGTTGGAAATTAGCAGAATATGTCCCCTTTAATGAAAATCTTTCTTTAAATGCTTTAATTTTGCTGTCAAATCCTTACTGCTGTTATTCTGAACATGATGTCATCACGTGGGATCAGCCGTGTAATTATCAGATGACATCTGCTGTTAAAAAACAAAGTGTTTTTCTATCATTCCACCGCCACAGACTCTAGCCGGTCTCCAAGGCAACTAGAGGCCAGTCTGCTAAGAGCATGGTTTGTGTCGACATGGCAACAAGACACCTCCTACCACGCATGTTTTCTACAGTCTGCACACTGCCCTGTAGGGCGGAAGCACAGTTTTAGTGCATGGTTTTAAAGCCCCAGTCAGATGAAACAAAATCACAGTGTGTGGATGTGTGCAGGAGTCTGCTGAAAAAAAGTCAGCAGAGGTCTGATGATGTTGATAAATTGTTATTTGGCTGTGTTGCTCAGGTTACTAGGATACAAGGTTGAGTCGAGTTTTACAGCTGATGGTCAGCAGCGACAAGAGACAAACAACATGTTCCTTCTGCTCCTGCTGGCCTCTCAGCTGCCGACGCACAACATAGTTTAAGAGAGATGGTTGTTTGGTGCAATGTAGACTTTTATCCATGTGCGTCCAGCTGCTCTTGGGAGTGTCTGACACATGCTGAGTCACACTGTGGATGTTGGCATAACCACAGTAGTACTAAATACTTCTAGAAACAACATCAGTAACAAAAAATGTTCTTATGCAGCAAAACGTTAAATAGACATTTTCAGCCCCATGTCTTAGTGGTTGTAAACAGCAGATCTGAACAGCAGGTAGGTGGGGCTTTTGTGCTCACAGCATGACCTTTGTGCCTGAGTTGACAATATCAGGGATACCTCCTCTCACAGCATACAGAGAGAGTAAAAAACCATCAGAAAGTGTTTCGATCAGTGTGAAGCTCAGACTTCACTCTGAGCTTTGTTATACATGCACCGATTTCATTATTTCAAGCTCTTGCCATGTTAAATATGAGCATCCACCACTGGAGCGGTATAAGAAATGACAGAAAACAATCAGCTTCCTTCAAAATGTACCCGCACTGCAAGGACTGCAAGGTATTCTGCCTATTTCATCGGTGTTTGATGGGGATCATTCAAAAAAGTCTACCTTTTCCATAGCAGGTTTCCACCATCATCCCTGTAATCTGAATGTATTACAGTGCATTTTGTCTCTTTGTTTTTGGCCAGCACTAGCAGTGATGAACCACATTACAGGAAGTGGTAACTGAGCATTAATGTGTGTGCATCTGTACGTGGGTGGGATTTGCTGCAGGCCTATAACCACTTACGTGTTCATCTTCCCAGTAGCTTAAGCACAGCAGCCTCATGTCCCACTCTTGTCCACAACCAGCTGCCATCACTGACACTTTTCTTTCCCTTTGTGTCTGAGATGGTGCTCTTTTGCGCCCTCTCCTGGATCATGGCTGACAAAAAGTCTTGAACCCATAAATAGAACGTATTTGCATTAAAAGTGTTAGAATTGTGTTAATAATATTATTGTTGTTGTTTTTGTTGTTATGCAGAGGGCGGTCAGGATTAGCCATGATGGATGACCTCTTCTCCACCACAGTTTCAAAGTGTCCAGCCAATCACAGAGCCTGCTTTTCTAATCAGTTTATCCAGTTTCCTCGTGTCGCCACCTTTGATGTTGCTCTCCAGCACACCAGCACAAATTAGAGACAGAAAATCTCATTTCACTGCAAATTTGGAAGAATCTCACCTTCCTTATGAAATACAGCTTGCTCACCCGTCTTGTTGTATAAAACGTGTTGGTGTTCCAGTTCAGCCTGGTGCCTGAGTGGATCATCAGGTACTTGCATCACATCAACATCCTGTCCCAGAATAGAAACAGACATGTTATGAACGTGCTCACCATCTCTCTCTGGTCTTCACTTGCACCTTCAGAAGCAATAAAAGTACTAACTATAACTTTTGATTGGCTTTTAAAATTTTGCTTTGTTTTTTTTTTTGCAATATTTCTTTTTACTTACCAATGTTACTATTGGTAGTAGTGATATTTTCTCCTCTGGTTGCTCCCTTTCTCATACCAAGTCTCTGAATGTCTTCCTTCATTACATCCATTAAACTCTTCTCAGGTCTTCCTGACTCTGCATATGTCCAAACCGTCTCCGTCTTGCTTCTCTAACTTTGCCCCCAGACTGCTCAACCTGAACCTGAGCTGATATACCCAACTCTGCCACCTCCAGCTACACCTCCTGCCCTGCTGTTAGTGTAACTGTCTCCAAACCACACATAACAGCAGCTAATCTTGTGCATATTTCCTTTCAGTCTTGCTGTTATTCCTCTGTCCCAAATCACCTCTGGCACTCGTCTCTACTGACTCGTCTCTGCCTACACTCTCTTCTTCACCTCTCTTGTGTACTGTCTGTTGCTTTGAATGGTAGAAACCAGGTATTTAAACTCATCTAATTTCACTACCTCTACCCTTTGTATGCTCATCTTTCTATCTGTCTCCCCCTCATTCATACACATGTATTCTGTCTTGTTCCTACTGACTTTCAATCCTCTTCTCTCCAGAGCAGCTCCTCAGGCTCTCTTCCACTTGCTCTCACTACAGATCATGATGTCATCTGCAAACATCATAATCCACTGAGACTCCTGCCTGACCTCATCTGTCAACCTGTCCATCAGCACTGCAAACAGTTAGGGGGTGGATCAATCCCATCCGACCACACCTTGAAACCATCTGTCACTGTTACCCCGTCTTACTGTCCTAAAATATTTGTGTAATAATTATGTTTCAAATGTATCAATTCTGCAGATGAATTTGTGAAATTCTGCCGTACAAACTGACTTTGAAATGCAAGATTACTGTCAGACTTAAAATGGCCCAATATAAACTCTTTTTTTTCATTGGCTTCTATCCACAAATGTCTTCATTGAGAATCCTCACACAAGTCCATCTAAAGCCTATACCATAACTTTCTGATGCAACCCCAACGGGATCTTTGTCTATTAAAAACGGAGTTTGGGGTATATTTAACTGTTAATGTATAAGGCATTAGTGAAATGAGAAATATTTTACAATGTGCTCATTT